AAGTCTTCCAAACCAATGAATGAATGGAATGATTTGGAGAAGAAAACTTTTTCTTTAAACGCTAGAGTTATGAACACTCTATTTTGTACTTTAGATAAAAATAAATTTAATCATATTTTGATTTGTAAAACTGCATACGACATTTGGCATACTCTTGAAATTACACATGAAGGCACCAGTAGAGTTAAAGAATCTAAGATAAATCTTTTGATGCATAATTTTGAATTATTTCAAATAAAACCAAGTAAAACTATTATTGAAATGTATACTCATTTTACGGATGCCATCAATAGTTTAAAAGCACTTGGCAAATATTTTTCCAAAATTGAACTTATAAACAAGATTTTAGGATCTCTTCCAAAGAGTTAGATCGAAAAGTAACGGCAATACAAGAAGCAAAGGACCTGAACAACTTTTCATTTGAAGAATTTATCAAGTCTTTAATAACCTATGAAATTACATATTTAAATATGACGAACATAAGAATAATCTTTCAAAGAACAAGAAGGATTTGGCACTTAGAACAAAAGAAGACTACTCGAACGAAAGCTCAAGTGATAATGACCTTGAACTTCTCACAAAAAAATTCAAAAAATTCATAAAATAAGAAACTAAGAATAAAAACGAACTTAAAAAGAAGTAGTTGCCAAAGACGAGGAGCAAACCGATGAAGACGAAGTGACAAACTATGCCTTGATGGCTCTCAACGATGAGGTAAATGACTTAACCAAAGCTCATTTACCTTATAATGAATTGCTTGATGATTTCCATGATTTATTTGATGAATTTAAATTATTTAATAAAAATTATAAATTGTTAAAAAAGAATCATACTTCTCTTTCTAGTGAATTTAAAAAAAATAAAAAATGAGCATGATAATTATATGTTAACATTTTATACTTAATGTGAAAAATTAGATTCATGTAAAAAGGAAATTTTATTACTAAATAAACATTAGAAAATTTTAAAATTGGTAGTAAATCTTTAAACATAATTCTTGCTAATAAGAGTCATATATGTAGAAAAGAAGAAATCAGTTTTGTGAGTAGTAATACTCAATAAAAGCCAACCACATTTGTTAAAAGACCCACATTACATGTTTTTGTTGAAAATAAATATAATTTTTGTGATAGGTGTGGATATTTTGCATATAAATATCCATTCAAAAAGTATGGCTTGCGTAAATTAGTTTATGTTTCTAAAGAAACCATACATGACTATGCCAAAAGACAAGATAAGTAGATTTAAACATAAGAAACTCAAAGTCAAATTGGTACCTATAGTAAACCCGTCTTTCTTGTAGAAATATCTACAATCGAATGCTAAGAACAAAAATGATATTTTGATAGTGGATACTCAAGGCATATGACCAAAGATCCAACACACTTCACAAAGCTTATTAGCCAAAACAAAATGATTTTGATTGAATATGATTTATGTTTAATAAAACCATACTTGATGATTTAATGATGTAATAATGTAATGATGATTTGAAGTAATGATGATTTGAAATCATACTTAATGAGTTTATATTTTAAAATTATGCATGATAATTTTTGTGATTTATGGCTTATTGATCTTAATGATTTTTTTTATGATGATTTTTTGTTTTTTAGTTTTAATCAATGATGCATGGATTTTACATAGAAAACAAAGATATGCTTGTATGAAATCAATCACTTAAATTAAAATTAAAAAAATGAGAATGTATTATTCTTAAAAATATTTCTATCACTAAAAGTTTATCGAATCTTTTATAAAGAGATTAATGAATCTATTTATATTATTTTTTATAAATCTATGAAAGTTATTTTGATGATTTAAATTTAAATGAGTGTTATCCAAACCTCTCATTTGATACTTGAGATTTTTTTTAATCAAGATCTCTTATTTGATCTCCTATGTTTCTTTACTACAGAAAAGTTTTATCTATATCTTGATCTTGAATTCTCATAATTATAACTTAATTTTTTTTTAATCATGATCTTGACAACTTCAGATTTTTTATACATGAATTAAGATATTTTATTATTTGTTCTCCTATGATTCTTTTTGCTTTTTACAAAAGATGAGTGTTATCCAAATCATAATCTTGATTCCTTGATAATTATAACTTGATATTTCTATTAATCGAGATTGTTTACTATGATTCTTCTTTTCGCTATTTGATTTATCCAAATGAATCATAATTTTTTTTCCTCTTGATTTTTTAATATTTGATTCACAACTTGAAAGTTGTCTTATTACTCCCTTATATTCATAAAGTATATATCTTATCACCAAATTAATTTTTCTTGTTATATTTTATGTGATGATTTAAAAATTAATATAAAGGAAAATGAATTGTACCATTGTATTATTCCTCTCTTTTTGACAATGACAAAGGGAGAGAAAGAATTGCTAGCTAAAAAAAAGCAAAAATTGCTAGTTTGCTCATCTCAAAAGAGAAGCAAAGATTGCTAGTTTGCATATTGCAAAAGGAAGAAAAAATTGCTAGCTTCCAATCTCAAGCAAAAGTACTATCTTGCGCATCTCAAGAAGCAAAACTTGTAAACTACATTGCAAAGAAAAACAAAAATACTAGCTTACACTTTTCAATGAGAGAAAACTTGCCAACTTGCATATCTCGAAAAAGAGGCAAAGTTTGCTAGCTTGCACATCTTAAGAGAAGCAAAATTACTAAACTTGCATATCTCTAAAAATTGCTAGCTTGTATGTTCTATATAGTGATGTAAAACTTACATGTTTTGAAAAACTTGTTAGTTACACTTTTATCCTTTTTGTTGATGACAAAGGGGGAGAAGTTATAATGATTTAAAATTTGAATCATGCATGGATTATGATAATGATCATGCATAGTGTACTTTGATGTTTTGAAATTATGATTATGCATGAAATACTCATGATTTTAAGATGCATGAAATGATATGATTAATTAGTTCTTTCAATATTCATGATGCATATAATGATGAAATAGTCATGATTTTTTGGATTCAAAGTTTTTATCAATATGGAATATGGTATATTGATAGGGAGAGTTAAATTTAAACTCTGTCATCAATTGGTTATCATCATAAAAAAGGGGGAGATTGTTGAATCTCAAATGTTGATGATGAAATCAATTGATGAGTTAAAGATCTAATCTGTGTTTTGAGTGACGTAGGACTAGCTTCAATCAGAGAAAGGCAAATCAATTAAAGAAATAGAATCATATATTGGGTCACAATAGAATATGTCAAGAGATTGGATGCCGAGTCAAAGGATCGGTCAACATACAAGCAAGACTTTGTGCCATAAGTTTGGGCATTGGGCCAGAAAGATTAGACATTGCACCAAGGAGATTGGATATTGTGGACGTCAACATGTTGATTATGCAATACGCTGCAAGAGAGAACGAAACGTCGAAAGGATCGGATGAAGTGTTAAATGAACCAATGACATGCCGAACAATATAGTATTCTGTTTATAATCGATTGTGTCTAGGTTGAAGTAGTCATGATTGTAATTGAGTTAGTTTTGGGAAAAACCTTGCTAACTCAATTAGGAGCATATTGGGCTTGAGTTTGGCTATTTTGGGTCAAGTGAAATGCTAATTCGATCACCTATAAAAGAGCCAAGTAGTGACATCGTCAGACTAGGCAATGGTACTACCTAGACATAGTCTCTTAAACTGTTTCAAGCGGTGATACCATCAGATTAGGCGATGACACCGTCCAGTGTCAAACTGGCAAGCAATGCTACAGCCCAATATTAGCGATGGTATAACTAGTACCCTTGAAACTAGGGATGTGACACTTTTTTGCTCTATTTTTTAAATCATTTAGAACATATAAATACCTTACTATTTTTTGCTAGAGATAGCAAGAAAAAGAGTAGAAAAGGAAAAAGAATTCTTGAGAAAAAAATTGTAATCTCTTTTAAAGTTTAGAGTCTCTTCCTCCTAAAGTTAAAGGTCTTTCTAAAAGGTCTTTCTAAGGGAGGAGTGAGGTCTAGTCTAAAAGAGAAGTTGTAAAAGTTCTCTCGTAAACTTGTCAAAATGAGAAAAAGCTATAAGGGTATTTTACCTATTGGAATGAAAATCTATAGTAGAAGCCGATGGCCTTGAATGAAGAGGAATCGAGAGTGGACGTAGGTCACGATAACCAAACCATTATAAATCTGGTGTGCTCTTTTCTTTTATAGTTTACCTTTATTATAAATTACTTTACTTGCTAATTACATCCTTACAAATGTTGTTAAGTTAAACATTTTTTCGATACGAGCTTTATCGAATAAATTTTTTAATCGTTATAATTTTTTAAAAGTACTAATTTTTTAATCGCTATAATTTCGATCCTAACAGCATGCTACTACTATAGTATTTTTTTATTATTATTAGGTTAGCACCCTTTTTAGTTCTTAATCGATGGTGGAATATGCTTAGATTGTTGAAGTAATATTATTAAAATATCATTAGATTAAATAAAAAATAGGTTCAAGATGCGTTGAGAATGAAATAGGGAGTAAAAAAAAGGAACTCATCCAAGATACAACCGAGATATCGTAAAAAAAATAAGATTTTTGATATTAGCAACGAAAGAGAAATAGGAAAAAAACTAAAAGGAACCAATTAAAAGTTTGAAAAACTTTTTTTTTTCTCTCACTTTTTATTTATTTTTTTCAGAATTTCTGCTAATTTTTCTGGGTTTTCCCGAAGTAAATATTGGACAGGAAAGAGATCTATTTATAGACAAACTCGAAAAATGAAATAGTACCATGTGGCAATGTATGTAAAAAAAAAAGAAGATAATTTTAATTAAAATATATTATAAAAACTAAAAAGGCAAATATTGTGCACAGTGAAGGGGAAGAATTTTTCCCTTCACTTGCAGCCAAACTCGAGGAAGACCCCAAGAGAGGGGGAAAAAAAGGATTATGGTCACTACTATGTCTGCCCCCCCCCCCCCATTTCAGTTTCGATCTCAACTTCTGTATCTATATGTAAAAGCTAGATTGAAAGAAGATGTTCTCTTCTTCTATTTCAGAGTCGAGATGAAAGCTTAGCCATCAGTCAGTCAGTCAGTCGAGACGGAACGAGCGCTGCTGATAGAGAAGAAAGAACGACACGTGCGGTAGATGATGATGCTGATGGGCAACAACAATATACCCTTTGATATCATTGTTGGCATTTTCTTTCTTTTTTGGGGGCCGGGATCCTCTCCCGCCCGCACTTCAAGTGTTCGACTCCGGGGCTATACTTCGTGCTAGCATTTCATCATCAACGGATACAATTGGCATACGCCACTCACTACTGTGGACGCACAACCCTTTGCCCTCATCCCCTGCATCATCAATACACTCGTCCAAGGCTCGATGAGAACCCCGAAAACCCCTTCACTGTATTCCATCTACTCATTCCATCGTCTTCATTGCACAACCTGCTTCCCTCTCTCTTTCACCCATCTCACCACCCTCCTCACCGATTCCACCGTAACACAAACATCCAACCCGAGGCATGCCACGCAGATCCACTCCCACCTCATCACCACCAACTCCCTCCCCATCCCCTTCCTCCATACCCAGCTCATCAACCTCTATGCCAAGTGTGGCCAACTCGAACAAGCCGTGCTCACCTTCCGAACCACCCAGCACTGCAGCAACGTCGTCACCTGGACCTCCCTCATCACCCACCTCTCCCACTCCCACCACCCCCTCGAGGCCCTATCCTTGTTCGCGCAGATGAAGAGGTCAGGCCCCGGCCCCAACCCCCACACCTTCTCCGCCGTCCTGCCGGCCTGTGCCGCGGCTGGCTCCCGTGCCACTGGCCGACAGGTGCACGCTCTCGCTCACAAGCACGGCGTCGTGTCCGACGTCTACGTGGCGAGCGCACTGGCCGATATGTACGCCAAATGCGGCGACATGGGGGATTCTCAAAGAATGTTCGACGAAATGACCCTGAGAAATCTCGTTTCTTGGAACGCGCTGATCGTGGGGTTCGTGCGCAACAAGATGTACCACAGGGCGACGGAGGCTTTCCGGGAGCTGCTTGTGGATCAGTCCTTGAGCCCGGACCAAGTCAGCTTTTCTAGCGTTCTGAGTGCGTGCGCCAACGGTGGCGGCATAGACTTCGGTAGAGGGGTGCATGGCCACACTGTCAAGCTTGGGATGGCGTCCACGTTGGAGTACGTCAGGAACTCGCTCATCGACATGTACAGCAAATGCGGGTGCTTGGAAGACGCCATGAAGTTGTTCGACAGCTGCAGCGAAAGAGATGTCGTGACCTGGAACGTTATGATGATGGGTTGGATCCAAAGTGATCGGATGGAGAATGCTTGCAACTGTTTCCGAGCTATGATAAGGGAGGGGATTTCCCCGGACGAGGCCTCGTTTTCCACCGTCCTCCATGCCTTGGCCAGACTAGCTTCATGGGGCCAGGGCGCAGCAATTCATACCTTGATAGTGAAAACCGGGTTCGCTAGCAACAGATGCGTCGGGAGCTCGCTGATCTCCATGTACGCCAAATGCGGTGGCTTGGAAGACGCATACCGATCCTTCGAGGAGGCAGAGGACCGCACGAACGTGGTCGCTTGGACAGCCATGATCACAGCATTCCAGCAACACGGGCATGGAGACGACGTCATCCAACTATTCGAGCAAATGCTTGGTGAGGGTGTCGAACCGGATTACATCACATTTGTTAGCGTCCTTTCGGCGTGCAGTCACAACGGGCTTGTCGATCAGGGATTCAAGTACTTCGATTCCATGTCTCACAAAGTGACACCGGGAAGCGAGCACTACGCTTGCATGGTCGACATGCTGGGCCGAGCCGGCCGCTTGGATGAGGCGAAACGGTTCATCGAGACGATGCCCATCAGGCCTGATTCATCGGTGTGGGGCGCTCTGCTTGGAGCCTGTAGGAACTGCAGGAACCTGGAACTCGGCGACGAAGTTGCTCGAAGGCTGTTCGAGATCGAACCGGACAACGCCGGTAACTACGTGTTGCTTTCGAACATGTATGCGTACCATGGACGGTTGGAAGAAGCCAAGGAGGTGAGGAGAAGGATGGAGTCGGCTGGGCTGAGGAAGGAGACGGGATGCAGCTGGATCGATGTGTGGAACCAGACGTACGTGTTCACGGTGCATGACCGATCGCACGACGAGACGGAGCAGATTTATGAGATGTTGGGGAGGCTGAAGGAGCTGGCGAAGGCGAAGGGTTACGTGCCTGATACACAATTCGCCATTAATGACGCAGAAGAGAACAAGGAGGAGAGCATGTGGTATCACAGCGAGAGGCTTGCGCTCTCGTTCGGGCTGATAAGCTTGCCTGTGAATGCACCCATTCGGATCAAGAAGAACCTGAGGACCTGTGGGGACTGTCACACGGTTATGAAGCTTGTTTCGGAGATCTTCCAACGAAAGATCATCCTAAGGGATGCAAATCGATTTCATCAGTTTGCTGATGGTTTGTGCTCTTGCAAGGATTATTGGTGAAGCTTCTAAAATCAGAACCATGACAGAGTCACTTAAGCAGCGACAAAGAACTACACGATGCTGTGCTTGTAGATACTCGAGCAAAAAGTTACGCTGGGGTCGATAGGGATCATCAAAATGTAGCTGGTGGTTGGTTCCCTTCTTGCAGTCCAGACATTCGATGATAATTAACGCTGCTACTGAAGACCATCTTCCTACGCATTTCAAGCAGAATGCATTGCATCAATTATCAGCCGAGAGTATTATTAATATGAACGGGCATCAACATGATACTTTAAAGGTAAGTGTCATGTAATATTTACATCCAAGTATGCAATTGACACAGCAAGCACACTCTTGATTACATCAAAGAAAATGATCGAGACAGCAGAAACTTGTTTATGATTCAATGGCTAATGAACAATGTTTCTAGCAGATACAAGGATGCTACACAAGCCTCCCTCGGTCAAGCAGTTAGCAGTCCCCTTCGGTCGACCATGGGTAGACACAATTCAGCCATGAGAATAGCGTGTCTGGAAGCTCTCTTCTTTTTCATCCAGCTTTCTCTTTAAACTTGCATGCAAAAGGTCAAAAAAACTAGTAATCAATATTTGGTTATTAATGATCAACCTTTGTGGTCGGTATTCCCACATTTCTAATTAAAACAGGCAAGAGAAGCTCTGGAAGGAAAAAAAACAGGAGAAACAAGTTTCGAAAGACGGATGTCAATCATTAATGAATAGAACAGGAACCTAGAATTCATGAAAATCATAGAGGACTAGGGTCCTTCTCAGATAGACAAATGAATTTGCAAGTGGTAGTGCCACACGCTGGTGTGCCTTTGCATTGTGCAAGATATAGACATGTAAAGAATAAAATAATAACTGTGAGCGAAACAAAAGACTAATAACATGAGATCATATTTTCTGTCCATGATGTGCCCTGCTTGATAAAGCTTGGAGCTTCTTCAAGTGGCATCCTAAACATCGATGTTGCCTTCGATGCAAATGAAAAACCTTAGATCAAGGCCCATGTCTTCGAGAAACAACAATTAAAACTACGCGGAACTCCCTGGGTTTCTCAACAAAGCTTCTCTTATGATGGGTAGCTTTTGAAGAAATGAAATGTAATTATTGTGTGTATACACAAATGATGCTCCTATACTGTAAGCCCATACTATGCTTCTTTGGATCACTGCTACATAGGAACAAGATACATACCGAGCATTTAGTTCTTCCCTTGCATCAAGAGCCCCAACTTCCTCATTTGACAAAATATCAACAATGGGCTCATACAGATACCATTCTTTCCTTTTCCTTCACAAGATAGATATCATTATAGAATCAAAAGACAATCTTGGTAATTTCTTACAAGGAAAGAGAAATGCAATACTGACAAAATCCGAACATGTAGAAAGTCCAAACGACTTTCTCTTTGTCTAATCATAGAGCAATTTGATAGCATTGAAGAATCATCTTACCGGATGACACTTCCTTTACTGCCAAATAACTTTCCTAAGTCCACTGTATTGCCTGCTTTACTGCAAAAAACAAAACTATAAAAGAATCATTTCATAGTGCTAACAACAACAAAAAGAAAAACAAAGAATTGATACTTCCCACATCTTTTTTTATCCCAACAATACATCTCAAGTAATACATGACAGGTAACAGGTAGACCTACTTCGCACAAACCATAGAATCCTAGAGGAAACTATGACAAAAGAACATCGGAGAAAACCTGTTTGCAACAATATCTGCTCCTCGTCGACCCTTCTTCCCAACCCTGGTTTCTCTGGCTGAAGAAATAGATTGAGTTGCAATCTGAACGACAATATATTTAGGAGTATAATCAGTTTGTCAAACAATAATTCACTAAAAATGTTATAATAATATATGCAAAATATTTTTCTAGTAACAGATTATCGCAGGAAAAGAAATCTTGATTGATTATATGCAAATTGATGCCTAAGTGAACGTGCTTACACTAATACAAACTTGGAGTGGTAGACTAAAATGCATGTTTGTAACAAATATATCATTACAGAAAGCAATTACATTTTGGCATAAGAATCATATATGCATTTCATGCTAAGAACCTGTGTTTGTACAGCACTTGGAGCAACATAGAGAAAACTCCATGTGCTAGTTATATTTAAATGTACAAACTTCTCATGATAAAAGACATCTTCAAGGTAATTTAATGCAGGCATGGCACAGGATCTGCTAAACTCAACGTCCACCTTCAAGACAGAAGGCGAGTCTTAGTGAGAATGCAGTATAAATGAAGTAGAATTTCCAATAAGACAAGGCTCCAACCTAACGTGATCACGTGAACCCTTCAGCTATGTATAAGGAGACAAACCACTTGCATATTTTTTTAGCCATGCAAACCAGTGTCAACTAGACTTTCCAAGACCAAGAGCAATGCAAAAAACAGACTCTACAAAGAACATCATTCCAAGCTTCCCTTGACTCCAGAATATATATATATATATAATTTCAAGGAGTAATAAAATGTTGTTCATGCTGCTGCATACGAGGTGGCAAAGTGACCACATCATGTCATAAGAAACCCCACCATGATTTTTAAAAAGCCTAGGCTAGACCTTTCAATGGTTGTAGATGCCAAAGAAATAGCCCAAGAAATGACTTCAAGAAAAGTCACTTTGGCTAGTTCCACAGATCTAGGCTAGATCAGCATGAATCTCCTAAATCCGCTGATCTAGGCTAGCTTTTATGAGTAATATTTCAAAGAGAAATTTGCATCTACAAAAATTTAATGTCTAGAAATAAGGGAAATGTCGACATATACAAATTAAGTAAAAATGCACAGCAAAGCTACACTAGCAACAGGTAACATAGAACTAATAGGTAGATTATCTTGGCAAATAAGAAATCCAGATAGCATAAAACAACACAACTCATAAAAATAACAGTCATTATACATTAATTGGTATAAAAAAAGACAGCAAAGACATATATCTAACCTCATAAAGCTGCTCTCTTATGGAAACTGCAATTGCTGGCTGTAAACATTGATCCACAAACTAGTCAACATTTACTAGGTTGTACCAGTCAAAAATCCTTAAATTACACAGCAGAAATGTGAACTGCATTTTAAGAAACAGAAATATATAAACATATAGAAGCATACAGTCTGTTCCTTGATGAACTGCACTTATATATATACATGTGTTCCAACATTTACAAATTCAAGAATCTAATTTAAATTATGCAAACATTTCTAATTTACCTAGTCCATGGCATCAATTCACAGCTTTAAAATGGAAACTCTTTAGCAATAGGACACAAAAAGCTCCAAATTTACTGGTCTTTTAGAAGCTTGTATGACATTGTGTCTTGAATAATTAGGATAGATCCCAAATACATATTACATTAATTAGATGTCAAAGAGATAGTATACTTACTCCAACTTCAGGATCTCCAATATCCAAGTCCTTGCAAAAAGTTCGTGCAAATTCTTCAGGATCACTTTCCAAATTGCTTATGTCCTAAAACCAGAAGAAATGCATCAAGAACAATATTGAAAAAATACCCACATATCAACCTTCTAAAAGCACAAAAATTTCATAAGTCAAACTTACCCACAAGAATTGATCTCTTATTACAGTGTTATTAACACGAAGGTCAATCTGTGAAATCATTGCGGTTGAGATACCCAAATAGCCTATCTTCAGAGTTAAAATCTATGAACATTTATCAGTAAGCATACCTTCAGCGGCACAATTTTCTCCTTGATATGCATTTCTTGCCCTTCATATGAATGAAACTCTGCTAATTGTGTCTGTTACCAACAAGTACAAAAAAAATATTAGCACATCTGATAAATGGTGAGGATTATGAGATGCTGCATCATTAACATTATCCTTGGCAATAAAATCAGGACATGATCTAGGAAATTAGCTAGTTGTAAGATCTAATATTCTCAAAATTTGCTACCATAAAAATACGATCATTATGCAGAAAAAAAAACAAGCTCTTCCCAAAATCAAGTAGATTATGCAACCTAGGAAGATATTAGGCATGGAAAAAGAAGGATTAACTTAAATCCCTTTGGATCGGTAATGAAATCAGTTTCAGGTTCAATTAAAATGTTTTAATTTCAAACTAGCTTTTTTTATTTTTAGTATTTAGAGGGGTCTTTTGTAAAACTTATAAGTTGACACATGGCAACATCTCTTATGTTTCCCCAATTGTTTTCTAGATTGATCAAGGAAACGAAAAAGAAAATAAATAAAGAAAAAGATGAAATGAATCAAAATCTGGTTTAATAAAATATTTCATCTCTACAAGAAAGTTTCACCTAGCCGCAAAGATGGAAGACTATCAATCAAGGGTTTAAATAGGTGCTCAGGTGCTCATGTAGTTGCTCCAGTGAGGCGAGGTAAGGCCCAAGCACCTTAGGCCTCGACCAAGCGACGCGTTTCAGTGAAGCGCTGCCTGGGCGCTCTCCTGAACCTAGGCGCCAAGCGCCTCAAGCGAGCGCTCGGTTCAAACGAAGCAACCGAACTAGACTATTAAGTCTGGTTCAGTTGAACAATAGCTAGTTTGGTTCAATTAAACCAACTAAGCTACATACTATTACTATACCTACAACAGTGATTTAAAAAGCGCTAGGCGCTAAAAGGCACCAAGGTCCAAAAACGCCCGAGGCGCTAAGCGCTCGCCCGAACGAAACGAGACGCTGAAATATAAAAATATATTATATAATTAATAAATATAATTATTTAAAATTTTAAATTAAAATATGCTATTAAATTAAGAAAATCTATTAACAGTATTGAAAATTAATAATTTCAAATAAACCTAACAATATTAACAGTATACAGTATACTGTTAACAATATACTGTATATTGTTAACAGAAGGAGAAGAAGGAAGTGTAAGGGGGTGCTGAGCCTGCTGACTGAGAAAAGAGGAAGCGGCAGGGGAGTGTAAGGAGGCAGCGGTGACAGCGGCAGCGGCGAGCAACGGGAGCGGGAGCAGGAGCGGCGAGCAGCGGGAGGCGCGAGCGGCGACAGAGGCAGCGTTTGTGAGCAGCGACAGCGATGAGCAGCGGGAGCGGGAGCAGGAGCGGCGAGTAGCGGGAGGCGCGAGCGGCGACAGAGGCAGCAGGAGCAAGAGCGGCGAGCAACGGGAGGCGCGAGCGGCGACAGAGGCAGCGTTTGCGAGCAACAACGGCGGCGAGCAACGAGATCGGGATCGGGAGCGGCAGCGACGAGGGTTAGGGTTGGGTTCTCACTTATATCGATTTTAGTTGGTTCGATTGAACCAACTAACCATCAGAGACCGAACCAGGACCGAACCTGTCACGACCCGAGTCTGATGAGCCAACTAGCCAATAACTCCATTTTGGTCCTTCAACCACGGAACAAAATGCTTAAGCGGGAGTTAACGTAGTACACTCATCAGGCCCATATAAGCCAATCATACACATTGCCCACTTCCGATGTGGGACTAATGGGATGTTACAATATCCCCAACTCAATTAGTTTGACATCCTCGTCAAGGCCCGACATAACCCAGATCGAACCCTAGCATAGTGCATGTGAGGTTTAACTCAGTGGTGGCTCCACGCCATGATGAGTTCTCGACTCCATCCACGAGTAGCCCTTTCTTACTCGAGCCCTCTCACCCTGCCCAAATGCTAGGTCGGCTTTGATACCAAATGTCACGACCCGAGTCTG